GACAGCGGGTTTACTACGCCTGACCGCCGATATGAATGTTGGCCAGAAGTGGGGTCCTTCTGGCCTGTGTGTATGTAGTCCAATCAATTTATCACTCGAACGGCGTCAAGGAAGCAGCTTCGACATGCACAAACACCAAAAAGGAAAAATAATAATTTGCCCTCCATTACAACATTTATAAACAAAGGATATTAGGGGACACAAAATGGGTGGTGGGGGTGGCAGAAGGAGGGGACAGACAAGGTATTAGGGCACACGTTATGGGGCTCATTGAATGTGTCGCCAAAGATTTAATGGAGCACGAGAATGATGGCAGCCAAGGTGAAATTGCTCGGGCCACGTCCGCTGACCAAACACAATAAATCATAAAAAGGAGTCTGCCATTGGGTTTATTGATATTGCATGTCCTTGTTTTTGTATTATGATTATACAGTTGCGGTCACAAAAATACATTGTGATAGGAACATAATTAATATTCATGTAATTGTTTTGTCTGTCATCGTTTAATGTACTGAGTTGTAAAACAATTAAAAGAATTTCGCATTTTTTAACAATAAAATAAACATGTTCTTTAAAAAAGCAAAGTTTGTTTACTTCCTTTAAAAACATTATATTTAAAACTATTTTGATTAAAAATAATTTTTGTGTTTTAGAATTTAGAATTTAATGAAAATATTTAAAATTTGGTGCTATTATTATACACACTTTTGCTGTTTTTATTCACGGCTTTTGCGCTAGCATTAATATTAATCAAATGTATGCTTTGCTCCCGCTGTCCAAGCACATGTGTGTAATATAGAGGAGTTCATATACAAGAAATGATGATCATCGGTTGGATGGGAAAAGTTTTCCGCTCGCCTTATTGACTTTCAGCTGTGGCCTTATCAAAACATTTTCTTCTTCGCAAAAGTTTTACAATTTATTTGCTTGGCGAAGACCGGACAGCCTGTCCTGCTCGCAACTAAATTATGTTAATTTTGTTTTTATACGTCTTGCCTGCACTGGCAATAACTCATAACTAGCAGCCAGGCGAAAGATATTCCAGCTCAGCCAGATTAAGCATACGCAGGGGGGACACTGGACAGAAGCGTGCACATTTCACATACCGAATCGCATCATTTGCAGCATTTAGTCAAATGAAAAACGAGTGCAACAAATCACCAGAAGGAAACAGGCGCACTTTCTGGTGACCAGTTAGCAGCTGATAAATTGCCGCTCGACTTTGTGGAAGGAGTCGAAAGCATTGTTTATTTGGTTTTCATGTCGCGCATGTTAAATGCAAATTATTCAGAAGCACTCTTAGCCTGCTTCGCCGCCTCCAAAGCCGTTCAACTGCACTTAAAATAAAGTTGTATTAATATAAATGTTAAAAGTTCATAAAGATAAAGCATTTAATTTAAAATAAAATCAACACCATTTTACCAATTTTATTCGAACTGGAATAAACTTAAAGAAACTCTTAAGCTTTATTTAAATAATTTATAATAAATTTATATACCAATACACAAATTTTAACATTCCAAATTTAGATTTTCAATTGTAATTTAAATAATATATGGAAAAAAAATCAAAAGCCTGAAATTAGTAAGATATGACAGGACTCTTTAAACTTAAGCTCTTTATAATTATTTGTTAAGAAATGGCTAGAGTCCTTTTTTTTAGTGTTAGCCTATGGCTTAGCACACGAATTCCGCGCATTGACCCAGGAGTTCCACGAAGTGCCCGACATCATGTGTAATTCCTGACATTTTCTGTATGTGCGTTGCTTCGTTTTTATTTTACAAATACGCTTCACGCGATTATGCAAATTCAGTGAACAACAAAGGCTCAGGCGAAGCGAGGAACCTGGCTTGTTAGGCATTCGAAAGGTCACTTAACTTAACTTAACGCTTGACATGAACCGCGACTCATATGAATAAATTTGCAATTTGAGTTTCTAAAACCCGAATTTCGGCTGGCAACGGGGTGATGGCACCGAACGATGGCGCTGCTCAATCATCGCTTTTAAGGCTTAATTTAATACAATCCCGCATAACAATGAAAATAATAATAAAGTGTCATTTGGCTAGCTCCCAAGTCTCCAGCGGTTTATATATGGCAGCTGGGAATGTGTGCATTATGTGCATTTGATATATTTCTTAATAAAAATATCACGCAAGTCCGACGCTGTCACCCGTGCACCCTGCACCCTGCACCCGCACACATCCAGGAATCCCGGAATCCAGCTGCAGACATCCTGCTAGATGGGTTGGGAGAGCTCATGTGTCGCTTTGGAAAATGAAAAATGATCAAAGTGAGTGTTTGGCTCAAAGAGGAAAAAGTGCTGCACCAGCAGCTGCTGCTCTGCTCCTCATCTGCTCATCTGGTCATGTGGGAATGGAAGGGGCATCGCACGGGACATCATCAGTTGCTAGTTGCAATTTTTAGCATCTCCCTAGAGCCAGGACATCTGTGGATGCCCACTGGATGGGATGTCCACTCAGTTAATGCGGGCAAACAAAGCAACGCCAGCTGGATCGGGCGACATCAGTTGGGGGCGTGGCACATCTGCTGCTGCGAAGTAATCAGCAGATGCACTTTGATAAAATGCGCTTTTAAATAGTGTTAGTTATTATACAAGCTAGTTAATTAAGTTTTAAGGGTTTCTAGATATATATATGTTTCTTGTTTTGAAGATCAAATTATTACTAAAATGACAATTGAAATATAACTGAATGTATGAGATATTATATTTAAACATCTCATTCATAAAAGAATATAAATTTTGTAACAATATTTAAATTAGTGAAATTCAAATGATTATTTTAAGTAATACTAATTATTCTAACATTTTTGTATACTAATTGAATAAAATGATATATTTTTCAAATACTGTAAAATAAGTTTGGTAAGCCATAAAACATATTATTATTTTGACCTTTTTTTTCAGCGTACTGTAAATGCAGCTGAGGAAGAAAGACATCCTTAGCCAGCAAGTAATTAGTTACCATGCATTGATTTTTATCCTGCTGCTGCTAAATTTCGCTTGACAAATTGTTAATACGTCAAAGCTCGGCGGCTAAAACAATGAAATGCTCTCGTAAAAGAGGAACGAGTGGGTTTGGGGGCTCTGACAGAAAAGCGACAGAATTTATGGTAATAAAAGCAGTAGACATTCCCTCCACAACAACAGCAACCAACAAGCGCCATAAAAACTCATATATATGTCTGCATATGGAGGAGAACGGTATTGTCTGAAAACTCGGAATGATTGAGAAATATGTGCAGACACAGCTCATTGAAGGCGCCAAGCCACGTCACTACGGAAACTAAACAAGAGTCATAAAATAAGTATACGCGCGTATGTTTTCCGTATAAATCAAAAAAGCAAAGCTGAAAATACCTGTCAGTCTGAGTCGCTTGTTCCCTGGAATTTACCTCTTTTTATAGCTCGGTGAAAAAGAAGTTTCCTCATTAACGTCAACACAATTACAAATTTAATAAACGAATCAGACCGGAGGAAATATGGTATTACAATTTATAACTGTTTATAGGAGTAATCATTTTTGAAAAGTTTTGTAACTAGGACAGGGACTGACACTAGGTTACACCGTAATATTTGCAATTTCCTAAATGCTTTTTAGTTCATTTTCTCTATTTAACCATTATCCATATTGATTAATTTGATTGGAAAGGTAATTTGTGTAAGAGACTTCGACAGAGATGGGGGGATGTGGAATTTATTCTGTTTAATATATTAACAATATAAGCACATCATATTTATTATAATAAATTTAAAGAAACATACCATGCGATTAGCAATGTCCAAATTTAGATCAATGGATAATTAGTCTTGTCGCAATCTTTCTGCTTTGCCAACCGGATTACCAAGGCCTCGGTGGCGCAGTTGGCAGCGCGTAAGTCTCATAATCTTAAGGTCGTGAGTTCGAGCCTCACCCGGGGCATGTACTTTTTTTCTAATTTCTTTTTTATTTTTGCGATAAGCTTATTGTTTTTGTTTGGATCATTACGCTCTGTCTAAGAGTTTATGTGCAGCACTTAAGGACTGATTGGCTTCATGGGTTGCCATATGATTTTTCATTGGCAAATAAACCAACTCATAATGATTACAAATTGATTTCCCATGTCTTTGGGAGATGAAGGAATGCATCTGGCAGCAGTTAATGGCCAAGACAAACACATTGCAATAAAATAGAACTCGCGGCAATCTGGAAAAACTTGGCAGCCAATCAATTAAACGAAGATGCCATAAGCTCTGTTATTTCTAAAGCGAATTCAAGTGCCGCACAATTGATTGGCAGCTGGCCAGTGATGAAGTCCAGTGTCCTTCAGATACGGGATGCACGATGGGGAATACAATAAACTGCGCTGTGGCCCTCGGGTGGGATATATTTTCTGGCGCACTGCGGTGGCCTCTGACCTGGGTCTTTTATTTTTTTTTCACCACGCTCCCATCACCTTCACGCCTTGCACTGCAACCGCAATTCGCACTGGTACATGGAGAAAATTTAATTTGTTTCCTGCATATATCCTAGAGGCGTTTTGTGTGTCATGCATTTTTACACCTTAATTTGCGGCTAATTTGCATATTGTATATTTTCGCTTGTTGCGCAATTTCAGTTGCAGTTGCAACCGACGTTTCCTGCCCGCCGCTTGCCGTGTCCTTCTATCCCATCGCTCTGCGGCGTTAAAGTCAGCGGATCCACGCGGTGAGTGGAACTTTAGAGCGGCTAACAAGCGTGAAATGAAATTTTGCTGAAAAAGTTCTGACACGGGGAATTAAAAGTGGGAGCCAGAGCCGATTAGAGGCAACTTATTTCTCTAAACTCTAATTTCAGAATTATAAAGACAAGCGGAGTATAACTAGACCTGATAAAGCGATAAACATTATTACTTATTTAACTGCTTGGCATTGGCAGCTATATAGATAAAAGTTGCTATAAAGCTGTCTTTGGAAGCTTAAGATATATTTTAAATCAATCAATTATCATTTAATCAGGTCCAGTTAGTACGAAGGGTTTATTTTCTATTTTATATTTCTGATTTGGTTTTCTTTCCGAATTAAGCAACAACTCTAAAAACATAGGTTTGATTATACAATTTACATGACTTATTTTTCGAGACCAACATTTAAATGCTACAACTTAATCGTTTCTTTAAAAGTATGTACAACAAAGTTAAGGATAAATATCGGATTAAGCTGATTTAATTTTTAACTTTTAAAAACGGTTTTTGTACCTGCTTTTTGGAAACCAAATGCTGGGTTGTTTTCTTAAACATTCTTCAATTACTAAGCCATATACAAACAAACAAATTGGATAGTTGATGATCTAAAAATGTACACTTATTAATGGAATACAGTATAATTTCACTTAGCTGCAGTCAATATTAACATAAAGCAAAATAAACAACCTGAGTGGTTCTAACAAGTAATACTTTAAAACCGTTTCAGCTAAGTTGAGCTTTAAACTCATTAATTTAAAGTATTGAAATTAGTGACTATAAAAACGATTTGTTATTCATAGTAATGGTTAAAAAAGTCCAAATTCTATTTCCTTTGAAAATTATTTAATCATTTTTAGCAGAGTTGCGAAAACAACTTTTTTTGTTAAACAATTATTTATAATTTTAATTTGGTCTGCTAGCAATCGAACAATTTGTTTCTCCAAATATGATGCCTATAAAATTAGCTTCTTTTATTATATTATTTTCCAGAGATCCTTACATTTCTTAAACTGCATAAAGTTATCTCTGTCAGTAATATTCGGAAAAATAAAATGCTTACACTTGAATTTCGTTATGACTTTTCGATCTAAGTTGTCCTTTATTAATTATAAAGTTGAATGAAAACTATTGAGATTTAAAAACAGCCAGCTAAGTGAATTACACTGAGTTTCTTCCTGGACGGTAGATGAGATTACCCTTCCCGAATCTAGAGGCACCCGTTGCCCCAGCAGCCGCACCACGGAATCTTGCCGCCGGTGTGCGAACTGACCGAGATCTTGCGGCGATTGGAGCGCATGCTGAAGCTCGTGGAGGATTCGCGCGAGGAGGCGAAGCTGTTGGAGTTGCGATCGGACAGCGAGGTGACCGTCTCGTGGTTGCTGTCCTGGTGGGAATGGTGGCTGTGGTGCGGGTTGCTGCTGATCACCATCCCGCTGTGCGGGTGGTGGTGGCTGTGGTGGTGGTGGTGGCCACCTCCTCCTCCTCCTCCGCCGCTGGCGGAACTGTTCCGGTGCACTGTGTGAACGGTGCCCTCGGAGTGCCGCCGGGAGCACTTGGTGCGACTGACAGTGGCCGTCATGGGAACCGGGTCACTGCCCTCCTTGCGATGGTGGTGATGGTGGGTGGTGCTGGGCGGTGCCGAGGCCGTGGCCCCGACCTCGGGGTGTCCACCACCCGCCGGCGCTGCCGGAGGCGCTCCCATCGAGTTGCTATTGGTGCGACGACGCGAGGAATGCGGCGAACTGGGGGTGCTGTGACTCATCTTGAAGGCCTTGACGCTCGGGTGAGTGAGCACGGTGCTCAGGTCCACGCAACTGGCGGTGGCCACGGGCATGGTGGTCACGGGCGGAGCCACCTCATCCTGCTGGCCCCCCTGTCCGGATCCACACACGATGGACACGCGTCGCGCCTTTCGCCGCGCCAACTCGTCCATCTGAAAGGGTTGTGGGAGGTTAGATTTGCATATACAGAAATCATTTGAAAATCAATAATGCTGAGGATATAAAGAATAATGCTACACATATCCGCACGCCTAGTTTAATATGTTATCAATAAGCTCATGTCTAAACACATTCAAATTAATAAAAGATTTATATCACAAAAAATATACGATTTGTTAAATTAATCCATGACTTTTATTAAAGGAAAGTCATAACTTGTCAAATTAAAAGAAATAAAACACTACCTCATGAACCAAACAAAATACCTTTTTCATATAATAAAATGTGTTTTTCATTTCAAAAGTCGTTACATTTGATTAATTGTACTTGATTGTATCAAATTCGGAACATATTTTAAAATTAAACGACTGTAATTAATCTAAACTATTTACATTACATTTACAAAAAGTGCGAAACATACTGTAATTTCACATTTGAGTGTAATTAGGCTCTTGATTTCAATTTGATTTTTCGCGCCTTACATTTACTTCATCCTTTCATACTCACATTTCCAGCAGCTGCCAGTTCCACGCCCGCCTCCCCCTCGGATCCCGTGAGATCCACGTCCAGGGATCTGGTCAACTGCGATGGCGAAGAGCGGAAAATGGCCCTTTTGGCGGCCGCCGAGGCGAGTGACTTGTACAGGTGACTCTTGTTGGGCGGCAGGCCGATGACGCCGGAAGCGGAAGTGGTTGGAGGCGGGGGCGGTGGTTCTGTGGGCATGGTTGGCCTGCGGGCGGGGGGGCAGCGGGGGCGGTGGCTTAAGTGGAACACTCGGCTTGGCTGCAATGGGCGGCCTCTGGCCATTCGGTGATGGAGGAGGCACTCCGGCCCCTCCTGCTGCCTGATTCACCTGCTCGAATCCCAGATAGGTGCACTTGTCGGGAAACGGAGCCATGGGGTCCGGAATGTGCGGGGCAGGACTGTCGGTGTGCTCCCTCTCCAAGGATCGGGTGCGTCGCACTAATTTACCACTCCCACTGTTTCCCGACTCGCTGGACGTGGTCACCGCCGGAGTAGCCGTTCCGATTTCCGTTTCCGTTGTGGCAGGTGAAATGGTCGGATTTGTGCCGTCGTACTGCAGATATAGATTCATCTCGGAGCGATAGGGCTTCTTCGCCCGATCGTCGTCCTTGTTATTCTGATTGTGGCTCAGGTTGTCGCGCGACTTGCTCTTCTCCAGCTGAATGGCCAGTATGTCCTCCGAAATGGTCTCGATGTCGTTGAGGATCGACTCTAAGTTGACAGAATCCGTCTGCGGATATTTAAATACATTAGTTTTAAATATTATATTATTTCTTATATCTAAGCGTAAGCATTGCAATGCGTTATAATCTTATTGAGTGGTTTCATTAAGTATTGGGGATCTAAACATGAATGACTTATATTTATATTATATTATAATTATAATATTTTATTGCCAACAAATTTACACAAGTCTAAGCTTTTAGACAAAATAATCATTTTTTTCTGCCCATAGTAGGAAAATTAATAGTTATAATATTTTTTTTTACGCAAAATAAAAAATACATGAAAGGGCAGCAAATCTCTAAATTGCTCTAATATCTATCTTAAATCTGACATAAGCTAAAGATTCCTTTAGATATGTGTTGAATTTCCTTAACACAAAATGATTTTAAAGAGACAACTAATTAAAAGAAGCGTTGACTTCTCTTGTACTCTTTAAGCTTACTAAATTAAAATTTAGTTTTTCGTCCTAAAAAAAATTACAAAAGGCAGCTTAAGAACTTTAAAATTATATATAGTTTTTTCATGACAATAAAAATTTAATTTTCCTATTGACTTTAATGATATATAGAAATGATACGGGTTGAATACAAAATATTTTTGGTTCGGAGGAGGAAGGGTGCTATAAAATGAAAGTACACTGGATTTAGAAAATTATTGTAGCAATATCTTATCTTGGTAAACCAATTTTACTAGAAGAGGGTTCACATAATATTTTTTAATGACATTTTTTGACATTCAGCTTTCTCTGAATAAATCCATAAGTATAAGTATATAGTGTAAGATAAGTATCACTCATATTACGAATGTACAAACAGAAATTTACAAAGTTACTCTAACGAAAAAAATATTGTATTAACAAAAAAGGTCAGGAATTTACGAACCAGTATTTAAAACACTTAATTAATTCATCAACGTTCTATTAATACATGTAGGGGTATGGGCTTTACAAACATAAAACATATCGAACACCGAATCTAAACCAAGTTGATATGAGCTAATCCGATGATAGGATTGAAATGACTATGCACGAGGATGATCGTCTGTTGGCCAGAGGATCCCTCACCTGACTGACGTTCTCCACGGACTTGGCGACCCTCTTGGCCTCGCCCACGGCCTTGGCCTTGTGGGCCAATCTCAGTGGCGAGGTGGTGGTCTTTGTGGAATGGGTGGTAATGGTCATCACCGGCTGTGTGAAGGCCGTGGCCGAGATGCACGTGCTCTGGCCGGGCTTTTGTGCTGTGGCGTAGATGGGATCCGCGCATCTGGCCGTCGGAAGCGGAGAGCACCTGGCGGCCGCAGCTGCCGCCAGAGCAGCGGTGTATATGTCCAGGACACTGGTGCCCGGATGCGGACCCACCTCCCCCAGACCAACGGCAGCCGCCACATCCACCACCGCCCGGTGCAGGGAGCAGTGGGCTGGCTGTGGGCGTTGGCGGCTGCGCTGGTGGCTGTGGGCGTGGCAATGCGAATGAGCTGGGGAGCGCCGGTGACGAGGACTTACTTGTGGCGACACCCGTCGCTGGTAGGGCGTGGCCAGGGCGTTGTTCACGAAAATATCCGGGGGGTCTCGCAGGGGCGGCGGCGGAGATCCCGGCGGAAGATCATCCTGCTCCAGGTCCTGTCCCTGATTGGCCAGCTTGGTGTTGAGCTTCAAACGCGGCTTGATCGGCGCAAAGAAGTGTTTGGGACTGTTGAGCGCAAGTTGCGCGGCATTTGTGGTGATGGCCACTGTCTCGATGTCGCCGCCGTCCGGCTGATGCGGCGGCGCATTCAGGGCGATCTTGGGCATCGTCTGCAGGGTGGACGTGGGCACGAAGGTGGTCATCGTGCTCACAGGTGGCGGTGGCGAGCGGGACGGCGACGAAAGGTCGGAGTACTTGCGCTGCGTGAAGGGCGACTGCAGGTTGTAGTCCCAGCCGTTCGTGTGGCGCATCGTCTGGCCCGTGGTAGTGCTGGAACTGGTGCCCAACTCCGGAGAGGGCGTTTGGGCTGCAAGTATTTCAGTTAATAAGCCTTCTAATCTGTGGTCGAAAATTTTGGAGAATCAAACAAAGTAGGTCTAGTCTAGTCTCAATTAAAATTATATAAAGATATTAATATCATTATAAGATTATAATAATATTAAATCTATTTTATTTTAATTTGTTAAATAATTTATAAACTAAAGCGTTTTCCCTGGATTTATCGGTTTAATAATGCTTTCTTTCTGTGCTTTTAGCTAAGCGTTTTATAATTTTTATCAGATTTGTTTAACGTAGAGAAGAATACAATTGGGAATTTATAACAAATATAAAATCCTAAAGCTGCTAAACATCATAAACAAACAGTCATGTTCATCGCAGCTTATTCGCGCAGAATAAAGCTGTATTCAAAAAATGTTCCCCAGTAAACTATTCTGAAGTCTTCCAGGAGTTAACATTCTAATGAGAACGATGTGCCCAAATTTACTAAACAATTTACGTTACAAATTTTTGCTCAACAAAATTGTAGATAACTGTATTGAAGATGACTAGATAGTTTCCTAGCCTTCCCTAACCTCTTAAATGTTGAATTCTATTTAAAAAAAATAGGTTTATCCTATTTCTTAAAAGAAAATGTTTTTTGTATTGAAAATAAAATATTCAAAAGGATTACTCACCCGCATTGCGAGCGCCCATATGCTGCGCCAGGATGTTCTCGAAGTAGGACAATGGCGGCACCATCGCCTGCAGGTCGTTCAGCTGGTTGGCCACCAGTTCGATGGGCGTGAGCGGGGTGAGCGGACCCATCATGCTCGGCAGCGTGCTCTGCGATCCGTTGGGGTCTGGTGGGCAGATCGTGAGGTGCTCCTGCTGCTGGACGAGCATCATCTCCGGGTTGCTCAGGGTCTCCTCGGAGACCACTGACAGGTGATCGAAGTGCATGGGCTGTGGCTCCTTGTTCTGGCTGCCTCCCTCCTCGTTCTTGGATGCAGAGGGGTGGCTGGGCACTTCCGGCGGAAGTGGGGGCTTGAGCGGCGCACAGGATCCACCCTCCTGGCAGCACTCGTCGCTGCAGTGGCCGTCGTCTGCCCCGCGACACGTATCACATGAGTCAGAGTCCTGTCAGGTGTAAAATATATAAATATCATATATATTCAAATGTAGGTATTATAAGGTCAAGGGCATTTACTATGTTGTTGCCTTAAGACAACGAAAAAAACATAAATTTAAACTGCACCGCTTTTTTCTTGAGTTCAGAGAAAATCTTTGAGGAGTTAAGTGGGCTTTAAGCTTAGTAAAATATGCCTAAAGCTAGTGCTTGAAATTAGATTTTTTCCATACAAATTTTGTCAGGCATAACTTTTTGGAACAAAATAAAATATATAAAATATATCACAAACAAAAATCGGTGGCAGTTTGAATAGACGTACGATTCGATTCCGACCCAATTGAATTTTGTATTCTTTTTAAATTTATGTAGTTTCAAATGTTTACAACGCTATAAATATAATAGTATTGTGCCGAATGTGGTCAGGGATGTCCGAAATTGTTCTGTTCAAAATGGTTGACTTGAAAAAGTGTAAAGAATTATTTGTTTAAACGCGTTTTGGTCTTAAATTTTTTAAGTCAAAGAACAATTTTCTATTTTTAATTCCTAGATTGAATATTTTTCCGTCCCACCAATATTTTATTTTCGTCTGATTTTTCCCAGTGTTTTCCAATACTTTGGAGAATTTTGAGCTTAAATATTTTACAACTACTCGTATCACTTACATCACTGTTTACATCACAACCTCCGCTCCCGCGCCCACCGCCTCCGCCGCTGCAACGGTAGGCGTGGCAGGTGCCGCCACTTCCCCCGCTGCCCCTGCATCCGCCGAACTCGTGCTCGCTGAGCTTCGCCTTGAACCGCTTGTTAAGTCTGTCACACTCGTCCCGCAATGTCCAGATTTCCCGACGCAGATGCTCATTTTCCCGCCGCAGGCGCTTGATGTCCGATTGCCCTGGAAAACGAAGAGCTTATTAGTTTTCCTCACTAAGCAACCTAGGAAAACTCTGAATAGGATTTGGCCGAGTCTAAAGAGCAGCACGTGGACATCACGCAGAGCTGTCAGACCTTTAGACACCTCAAATCGCATTGTTTACATTCGCTTATCTTCTGTTTTGGCAATGAAAACATTTTTTATGAATATTCCGACAGATATATCTGAAGAGGTGGGCAGATATTTATGTACGAGTAGGTGCGTATAGATATTTCTTTAGCTATATTCTGTAGGATTATTTTGGTTTCCTTAGCCACCATCTAATGTCTTTTTAATTGGCTGTTTTCAGGTTGTTTTTTGTGCCATTTATTTAACGATTACTTGATTTCCTGTTTGTTGTGGAACATATAATTTTATGGCGCATTACTGGGCCAGCTTTTGATCAGCTATTATCACATTTTGACGTACCTCGTTCCACTTCGGCATTAATGTTAATGGTTCGCAGCCTGAGCTCTTCATTTTCGTATATCATGCCCCGCGATGACTTTCTGTCCAATCTGAAAGGATCCAAATATATATAGTTATTTTGCTTAAGAAGCCCTAATATTATACACTTAAAACTACTGATTTGCCTTCGATTGCTAAGCGTTTGCCATGGCGAACGGCAGCCAATCAACATTCCAAACTCTTTTCCAACTTGGCTTATCAAAAATATTTAAATCCCCTAAATATGCGGGTCGTTCTTCAACGAATGCTGTAAGTCAACTGAACCGGATAGGTCCAGCATTGGTACCAATTGTTAGACGTTCTCTTCGACTATATGGCTGCGGGCTTTCAACACTCGGCACGTATAAATAAATAATAATAAAAAAGCAGCGTTGTAGAAAAAATAAATATAAATATATCACCGATTTGGAGCGCTTGGAGGTAGTGCTAAAGAAAAAACACCAAGGAAGAGGAAAATAAGCACAGCAGAGCTATAAATTACAACAACGAAGCATAAATAAATTATTATATCCAATAAACGGCTGTTGGCATACGTAAAAAGGTAAGGGAAAATTTTATCAGAATTTGCTAAGAAAATAAATATGAATGGAAATCTTCAATAAGAGTATTCGAAAGTTTCCCTTGATTTTCCAACGCACTTCCTCTTCTCCGCAAATCAAATTAAGCATTTTAAAAGATCTATTCAAATCCCAAATGATCCATAAAAATGGGATTCTTTGCAGATTTTCCATAACTTACGTTTTTTATACCAAGCGATTTAACACTCCTGTCTGCGTTGAGAATTTTTGACAAACTGCCGATCGCCTCAGAGACCCCAGCTCTTAAAGCCATCGCATATGCTTGCATAAACAAATATTTATGAACACAAATGCGTACATATATCTGAACGTACATATCTAGTCTGGGCGACTGTCTCCAATATGACTTGTGGAATGCGTAAATGTGAAAACATCGTCCCATATTTATAAGGCGTCAAAAGTTTTTTGTCTTTAAATATTTGGCCGCCACGCCTTACTCAGACAAGAGTCATTTATTTTGTCTGATTGAAAAGAGTTTTAATTTTAAATACTTTTTCGAACACTGTCCCGACAGTTTTTCGAGAGAGCAATTATTCAATTTATTGCCCTCTCGAAAATCTTTTGAAACGCTTCAAAAATGTATGGTAGTCTTTTAGGCGCCAATGATATATAGCCCATAATTTAAATGCAGATAAAGAGATGTATAAAATTCAATGATAATAATTTTGAAATTACAAAATGCTTTTAAATCTTTTAAAATTTGGGCTGCTCAGAACTTAATTCACAAAGATAAGGGTTAGAGTTATGTATTTTAGTTTTTTTAACTATATTAAACGATATCCCATTTCCATTCTTTCTGTATTTAATTAATTAATTGCAATTCCTTGACTTTTTCGAACATCTCGTGGAAAAAAAACAATGATAGCTTGAAACGACAGCTTACTTTTGTACAGATAATTTCTTTAATCATAAATAAATTTCAAAACATTAAGTCAACTTTTTTGATTGGAACGCAAAAGCTTTAAACAAACTTATCTATGTATGTCGACTGCCTGGCAATGGTTTTCAAGAACAAATATATAAATATACGAACGGTCATCGCATTTTTGACTTGGATATAAGACCTGATCCACAACAACTCTACAAGTATCTGATTTAACAAGAAAGGAAGCAAATTTTCGGCAGGCAGAAGTTTACATACCCTTGCAGTTATTACAAGACGACTACATTTCGATTTCTATGCCTATGTTACTAAAAACAATGAGGCTATGTTGATTTTGCGCTGCATTTTGCCATCGTTTCTATGGCAGCTACATGACATTGTTGTCCGATTTTGACAAATCTAAAATCGAAATTCTGATATAGTAAATAATTACTATATCTCAACGGAATATTTAAATAAGTAGGAAAACAGCAAAATAAAATTTATTTTTAATTTTTTTTTTTTAATTTTTTTGGGAGCTATATGAATAGATGTCCGATTTTAATTTAATTAAAACCGTAATTCCATAGTAATTAAATATTATCAATTTCCAAAAAACAAAAACAAAATTAAAAACAACAGTTAAATTTTTTAAATTTTTTTTCCGATTGTTCCTATGGAAGCTATATTATATAGTCGCCCGATCAGTCTCGTTCTTTAAGTCGGAATGAGCCGGATCGGGCTACTTGCAATGAAAAGACAACTTTTGGGAAAGTTTTAAACAGATATCTTTAAAACTGAGGGGCTAGTTTGCGTAGAAACGGACGGACGGACAGACGGACTGACAGACGGACAGACGGACATGGCTAGATCTTGCCATGAAATCATAACTGAAATCATAATACCTTCTGAAGGGTAAATTTTGCTAAAAATTATTTTTATACAAAGTAATTTAAATAAATAATAAAATACTTTGTAAGCTAATTATTTTTTGGTTACATTTAAGAAAATAAAAAAGAAAGGGTACCCTTACCAAATAAAACATTTGGTTCATGCTTCAAAAACAAATTGTGCTTTCTTAATTAATTTAGATTTCCCGAGAATTTTTTAATATTTTTTTTTTTTGTAATTCTGAAAAAAATCATTATTTGTTAGAAAACAAAATTCTGACCAAAAATATTGAATATTTTGAGAGAAAGTAGAGAAGTATTACTAAAAGTTTAATTGTGGCGATATAAACCAAGTTTTAACCATTAATGTCCGTGTTGGTAGTCAATTTTATGTAAGCCATTTAAAAATTGTTTTAAGTTTTCACCGGTAATTTTTCGAATAATACTCGTGACTGGAATAATTTAAAACAAATTTTTAGGGACTTTCGACACCAACTATAAAATATTTTTAAATTATTACAACATGGAAATAACTATGTATTATATTATATAAATATAACTTTATTATATGATTGCTATGGCTCACACTTTTGGTGTCGAATTCATAATATGCCATCAAATAATTTTAATAATATATTTCTCAACTTTAATCTATTTATTTGTCTTACATTTAACACCACCTACAAGGACTTGTTTATATTTTATACAAAATTCAGTAATATTTTTCTTCCAAAAAAATCTTTATTTCGGTTCGCTATATTTTCTCTAACAAATAATGGTTATTTTGATATTTACTACCTTAGGAAATAGTTATAACTTTTTCTATCGTGGATTACTGTGCAACATTCAACTGTATATTTTAACAATTTAACATAAATCAAAAATAATATTTTTTTTCAAAATATAATTTATAATGATAGCGGTCACTGCATTCGATAACTATCTAGTTGTGTGTTTTTTTCAATTCAGAATCAAATAATTTTCCGAACAGACATTTTTATGGTTGTGCATTTGAATTGAAAAGTAGTCTACAATTGTAAAATATATAGGTAGACTCTGCAAAAAATATTCCAAAAATATTTCCAATAGACAAAATATATTCCAAATATTTTTTTATTTTAACACAAAATTGTCCGATTCAAGAAGTCTAATCAGCTGGTTCTCGTAAGCAACCCAGCCCTCGTTTTTTAATTCTGTTTCGAAAACTTCCAATATACACAAACAAACGCTTGGTAGCGTCACGCTTTCCTCTAGATATACCAAACAATGAAATCGATAAACTGATGATCGATAGCAGAGCAAAGTATGGCAGTTTTATTGATGTCTACACACACACTACACACAGCCAGTAAGAAAAATACACAGATTTTAGAAAGATTTGCATGAGTAAACATTTTTAGCGAGCTCTGTATACAACTTTGTAGTGTAAAATCAAGTTGGACAATGTACACGAACCGATGATAAACAAACTGGAATTATTTTTAGTTCGGCTGGCCATAAGCAAATATTGTTTATTTTACGACCGCTAAAGTGTACGGATATTAGAAACAATTTTAATGACTTTTATTAATATTCGAGGGCCAGATGTCCGTGTCCGAAAATAAAGTGCATTTGGCGAAGCATTAGGAATGGGAAGTAAGGGAAAACCGATGGGAAAACGTAAAAACAAATTCGATTTTCGCTTACTTGGCCGACTTTTCCGAGCGTTTGTTGCCCTTGCTCTTGCTCCTTTCATATTGAGTTCGAGTTGTCTTCGCCCCTTTCATTTATTCAAAGGAAACTAACTACGCTCGTAACTAACTGGTCACACTTTTCCGGCGTTTTCTTAAGTTTACGCAATCATCAACGAAAATTCACTGCCGCACCATTTCAACGACTTCACATTAATATTAATAATTAATTATAGTTTTTGTTAGCAAGCAACCGCGTGACAATATGAGAAATGTGCGAACAAAAAGTCAATTTCACCGCAGCAAAACCGCACGAGTCGACTATAAACCGAAAACTGACAGTTAGGCGAGATCAGTTTTGGCCAAAAAACAAAGCGACTAGAACAACAAACGCCGACGACTGGCATTGAACGCTGCCGCCAAGAGCAACAAGCTTTGTCTGCATCAATTTTTATACAAATTAAAAGAAAAATTAAAAATGAAAATGAAAAGCGAAAACAGCTAAAAAGTTTCATAAAGCAAATTTGAGCGAGTAAATCGAAGGAACAACAAATCATCGTTCTCAATGAAATGTACGCATGCTGTGTCGGGAATTCGTTTATAAGATTAACAAAAGCCCCGTGAACCATATGAAAAAAGAGCGCAGAAAGCTGAAATGGCATGCAATGAATAGAACAACGAACCTTAAATGCTCTTAAACAGCTCTGCAAAAACCATGGCAAAAAGAGTACTATGGTTAAATGCAGGCATTCCGCAATAAAACTAAGATGTGTTTTACCTATATATTTTTTTCATTTTTATGACTTTTAAGTATAACTTAAAAGACATAAAAAATGTTTACCACTCCTGATTATAAAATTAAATAATATGAAATTTATTTATTTACAAGAGAATTTTTTTTTGAGGTCAAAGTTTCTTTTGCGTTTTATTTAAAATAAAGAGAATGGTTAACAGTGAGTTATTGTTAATTTTTTTAAATAATATATATTTTGATGAAAAATAAAATACATTTTGAAACTTTTTTATTGTAAATTAAAAAAGATTAAAACTTGCAGCGAAAGAGACATTAAATTCGTCAATAAAGTAAAACAAGGAATCAAACAATATTTTTTTAATGATTTGAGTGATGAACTAAAAACACAGAAACTGTCCGCTTTTTATAAGCTTTTCCCTTTTTTTCTCAAATCTCTTTCATAAATTATTAAAATTCAATTAATTTACAAAAAAAGACATTACAATTATGCAAATATTTTAGTTTTTTCGTATTTTTCGGGGCAGACTTAAAAATAAAATAATACGCTTGCACAATCAATTACCCATCTAATTATGTCAATATTGTTTTTAAGTTTTTTCCTTTAAGCACGCTGACAATATTTACTCGTAAATTTATTTGTTGAATGAAATTTCCGTTCAAGCCATTTTTTGTGGGGTCTAGCGTCAGTATTAATAACATAGGAAATAAATGAAAATTAATCAAGACCGTAATCGCATTCCATGCTGCATTTGGTTTGGGTTTTGCGGGCTGGCAATGTAACTGGATGTAGAAGAAATTAATTTATTTCCTTGGTAAGCAGCAGATGATAGAGTAAATTAACAATAACCGCATTTTCAATTAAATTAACAGCTCTTTTATAGAGATCCAAATGGAATTAATTGCACGGTCAGGGTGCTCTCTTCTAGTGAAATGTGTCGCGACATTGGCAGCCTAAATAAAACTATATCTGGCACCCACACATTGGAAAATCCCATTAAATCTTGGATATATATGTCCACTACGCACAAAATTTTAAAAATAAATCCCACTCAATCGGATAGTTCCTCTCTAGTGTTTATTCATTATGTAAAGTTCAAACGCTGGCCCCCACTTCCAATAAATAATATTTTTGAATATGAAAAATCTAGTGTGAATCCGCATATTTATCAGCCAATTAGAAAATTAGCAAAGGTTAACTGAGCGCGTCAGGAGCATAAATATCATTTATGAAGCCCGCACCGCTTCCTAACTCGTGCCAATTTGTTTCAAAGCTAATCGCCGCTGTCATTTACCGCCGCTGTATCTATTGTTTATTTTGACATAAATTTGACGGGGACAGTTTAATCTTGGACTCTAAAATTCAGCAAGTTGTTTGCTTAAGAAATAGTCTGCGTAATTTAAGAAAGTACCTGAAGATTTTGGAATGTGAATAGAATTTATGGCTCACCGAAATACTATACATATGGACATTAATGGTAGACATATATTATATCAAAGAGATTATGTGTTAATTATGGATATGCTCACTTCAAGTGAGTTAATAAAGCAAACAATCATATTGAAATCGATTTCCTACATTTAAATTCATTTAAACATATGGCTACAATCTACATTGTACATACATACATATATATAATTTAATATTTTTACCTTACTAATTTATAAACAAATTGATTATTAAAATTTATTTTAAAATGAAGTTCAAAAATATTTATATATTTTCAATAAAGCTTTCGCTGATCAGAAAAGCTCATTTGCATGGTGAAATATAAGAGAGTTTGATAATAGTTCCTTGACTTCCCCTCTCTGTAAGCTTTATAAAAAAGCTTTTTCTCTTATATCCGATCGCTTCGATTGGGATTTTAGGACGTAACGTAAACTTAATTCTAAAGCTTATGGCTAGTAAAGAAAATTGTTCAGTTAAGTTTACCTGCTGTTTAGCTTATAGTGTGCATGACGTCTTCGTTCTCGGAGCATAGTCGTGCATTAGTTTTCCCGCATGTGAAAGAAAAACCAACAAACAAAAAACAAAATACACATAAAGTAAAACAAAAAAATGTACACAAAACCAAAACAACACAGAAAAGATGAGGGTAAAAGGATAGGAAATAGGGGATAAAGACAAAATGATAATAATGAAAATGGAAAATTATTTGCTTGCTTATTTGATTTGGTTTTTATGTGAGTGTGTTTTCCTTTAATTTTTTGGCTTTGAGTTTTTATTTTGGTTTTGTTTGCATTTTGGTCCAACTGCTTTGTTTACAAATAGCTGAGAGCGTGTTTATTTAGACAAGAGCAGAGTATGTCAGCGCATTGAGAAATTACATTCAAGAAAAATCTGGTCTGGAAAAAACATATAGTTCAGGGGTTCTATAAAAACTATCATATAAATTAGCATGTAATCATTTTGTTCAGATATTTCAAGTTTTATATGAAGTGGCACTATTGATAGTGGCTTGTATTTGATTTCGGATTTGTTATACCAATATAACAAATCATCCTAATCTTAGAGTTTCGAACCTTTGTATAACCTTTATATAAGTTATTTTAACTATTTTAAATTTGTTTGATTGTTTTTACCTTGATTTAATTTATTTAATTTCGAAGAAATGTGCATCCTTTTTTTATACCCTTGCAGAGGGTATTATAATTTCAGTCAAAAGTTTGCAACGCAGTGAAGGAGACATTTCCGACCCTATAAAGTATATATATTCTTGATCAGCATCACCAGGAGAGTCGATCTAGCCATGTCCGTCTGTCCGTCTGTCCGTCCGTCTGTCCGTCCGTCTGTCCGTCTGTCCGTCTGTCCGTCTGTCCGTCTGTCCGTCCGTTTCTACGCAAACTAGTCCCTCAGTTTTAAAGCTATCTGCTTGAAACTTTCCCAAAAGTTGTATTTCTATTGCAGGTAGTATATAAGTCGGAACGAGCCGGATCGGGCCACTATATCATATAGCTGCCATATAACTGAACGATCGGAAAAGCCATAACTTTGGTGTTTTTAAAGTTAGGAAGTTGGGATTTTCTATGGGTTTTATTTTTGGCTAATCAATCCGACCTACCAAATTTCATAAGGATCGGACGACTATATCCTATAGCCGCCATATAACTGATTGATCGGAAAAGCCATAACTTTGGTGTTTTTAAAGTTAGGAAGTTGGGATTTTCTATGGGTTTTATTTTTGGCTAATCAATCCGACCTACCAAATTTCATAAGGATCAGCCGACTATATCTTATAGCTGCCATATAACTGAACGATTGGAAATGACATAACTTTGGTGTTTTTAAAGTTAGGAAGTTGGGACATTTTATGAGTATTAAGAATACATCATATGAATAATTTTGGACAATATAATTTATAAAATATTCTGCAAGGGTATATCAACTTCGGCTCCGCCCGAAGTTAGCTTTCCTTTCTTGTTTTAATGGTAAAAGTCTTCGACAATTTTTGTAATTCTACTACCAAATATCTTTAAACAACAGTTTTCATTGGCTTTTCTATATATTCTTACATCGACTGAAATGTTGCCTGGTGTAAAAGGTCCTTACGATTTCTATTATTGTCCAACCTTATACATTTTTAAATTTTAAAAGTAGTTTTTTAAGAATCCAAAAAAAAAGAACGTATATCTAGTTATTGTGTTTTTTTCTTGTGTAAATACATTTTTAAAGTGCCTTTGACATTAGGAATACGTTTTGTGGCACCTTAAAAATCTTGGGTTTGGCGGGCTGCCGTGTGGAATACTGATTCCTGTTTTAATATCTAGATGTTCAATGACATTCCGTTTTTTATGGCCTTTGCGGCGACGCTGTCTCGACGGTTTGTGGGTTGTCGCTGCCACAATGTACCAGCTCCAGGATGTATGCTACACACGCACCGAATGCCACCCGTTCTCAACCTCCTTATCGAACAACCACAAAGGGCCAGACAAAAAACTGTAGCGGAACACACATTTTTTTATTCAAAAGGGGTAAGGCATTATCTGGCATAGCAATTGATTTATCGATTAAGTTGTCAAGTACACATTGTCATCCTTCATTAATATTTACATGTGTTACAATTCAGCCTCGCTCCTTGACGCCTCCCCCTTATCCACCCCCCACAGCACCACCCTCTTGGAGACTTTTTCTTTTCTCTCGGGTAGCATTGAAAGGATTTTCTTTGTCCATTACATAACTGGCACACAGGACCCTATATAATGGAATATATATGTATACATTCCCTTTAGCGTATTTATGGCTGGGGTCGTAAATTTATCAAGGTGAAAGATTCCCAAAAGATTGTGCAGACACATTTTTTAATTCCCTTCAAAATACACCAATTGATGGAAGATAAACGGGCAATTTATGATTGAATCGGCGAATTCCGCAAATTTAATATCTTTCGCCAAAATATACATTTTGCATAAACAAAAGTGAAAGAGTGAATTTATCTCATTTATAAACTTACTCAGTATCGTAATAAGAACTCATAAATATTTGTGTTAACTTTTATGAAATGCTATTTTGAGGTGAAATTTATGACCGCCGACAATTCACAATTAACCAGCCGCACATAAAAATATCAATTCAATTTATGGTAATTCATTCCGACTACTTAAGCACAAACTCGCGTTAAAGATGATCACCAGGTCATTTTATAGGTGCACTTTTGGACACATGTATATTTTCGGAGGGGTGGCTATATTGGCCCACAAAAGACGGCGGTGACAAAGAGATACGCACTGCCAGATACCAGATTCTTTCTTCGCACGGATTCAGATACGTTGTGGCCTGCGAGGCACGCGACTGGGAACTGCAACCACTTGGCTTCAGCATTGAATTTTGTGTATTCTGCGTTTTCGTGTTAAATATTTTGCGTACCCACAGTTTATTTGTTGTTTCTTCCCTGTGTTCGTGTGTGTGTAAGTGTGCGTTAGGGGGCAGAGGGCGGATAACGGGAATGGGGGGCGGTGCATTCGAGCGGGCCAGCATACGGCATGCCAATAAACTGCCGGAATGTGCGTGAGCCGCTAAACCGTCTACAGACAGTGGGTCTCATAAATATGTTCACTGGCAATAATAATGAATGGGTTGTTTTTAAATTTCGAGTTGGATCGCTGGTGCTTAAACATTTTTTAATACTTTTTAAAATTCCAATTAGGCATATAACAATTAACTACATTTCTTAAAGAAGAATGAGGATATATAAATTCAAAACAAAATAGCCGATGCTATATTGTTTGAATTATAACTACACAGAAAAGAATTATAACTACAAAGAAAGAATCACTGTGTTGATCGATTCGATAATATTTCAGATGCTGCTATGGTAAAATTTTGTTAAGATGATTTTAGGGGGTATGGTTAATTAAAAAAAGCCTATTTTCATGAATATCGTCATTATTTTATAAGTACAACATTTAAATTATGTTTTCACAAATTTTCATCGAAAAAAAAATAAATGAGCCGTACGCAGCCAACTTCCGTAGGCGCCTCCAAGAAAAAAAGATTTGCGGTGGACAGCATAACTCGTTACTGGATCATCGAAAAAAAAATTATTTATTAGTTAAGAAGTTTCTAAAGGTAACTACGTTGAGTTTATTTTTTTATTCCAATTTTGCTAACACTTTGAAGTCAAAAACGTGATTTTAGTCCAAAAATTCGATATATTAGTTATTATAAAATGAAATATAATATAATCAATCAAACGCTCGACGTCATTACCTGAGGACTTAGGTACAGAAATAGTGTGCAAAACGATTAGTCCAGTAGATTTGAAATGGCAACTTTTTAGGAGAGCGTTTTCAAGCTAGAAGTTTTAATCGGATTAATCTAAAATTTAAGCGCAATATTCTTCAAATGTTGTGCATTGAGAACAAAAATTTAAAAAAAAGGCAAACAAAATATTTAAATACCATACCCCCTTAATCTTCCTCTTATTTTAAAGTGTCGATAATTTTTTTTTCAATAAATTCTCGTTTATGCCCCTTAATTTTTTAGTTAAAAGTATGTAGTTGAAAACATAAACTGTGCTGTATATCAAGTAAACAATTTAAAAATGTTTGTTGCTAAATATTTCAATTATTTCAATATATATCGTCGGCTAATTTAAGATCAGCACTGTGCCGGCTAGACGACTCCAAAACGTATAGAAGAAAGGAGGAGAATACCGAAAGATACAGAGAGAAAAAATAAATGGTGCGTGAGACAGGGGGCGACGAGTAAACAAAATGCACAAGCAAAATGAACAAGTTTCTGTCTATTTTTGCTGCCGCCTGTTGCAGTTTATGGTTCTATTATGGGGCAGTGTGCCTCCGGGTGATACAAATGTACACATGTGTGTGGGTCACTTTTTATGCCAGACGAACGAGAGGATCTTTCGACCGACTGCGAACGATTTCATAAATACACATAATGCCTGCACTCGTTGGGGCACAACTTTTGATGTGTGGCCACAGCAGTTAAACTTTATAATGGCCAACATATGAATTTTCTAATTCGCCGCGCGATAAGCGGATGGTAAGGGAGAGGGGTGAAAGAGATTTATTTTGATGGCCCATTGTGTATTTAATTTTATTAATATTTTCCGCAGACTTTAGCGGCTTATGTGAAGTCAATAACAAACAAATTTTATAGCCTGTTCGAAACACCTATTAATCGAAATGATTTGAAGAATCCAAAGACTTTATTTTCAAAAATGTGTAGTAAGCCCACAAATGTTCATTATTGTGTTAATATTAGTGCCCATCTTTTTATGAAAACTTTTTTGGTATTTCTAATAAATTTTTTAAGAACCTATCTAATTTTTCGGGCTTATAATCGAATTGTCGGGAAAATAATTTTAAATGTGTTTCAATTTCCAATTAGAAATGATAACATTATTGAAATAATAAATAATAAAGAGCTAAAAGATCCTTTACGTATAATACATTATGTCATAGTTTAGAAATTTTGTGGAAAGTCATAAATAATTTAAAAGCAATCTTAGTCCATTACCATCGAGTTAAAACCTAAAAATGTCCTAAATATAAGATACCATCGAGTTAAAACCTAAAAATGTCCTAAATATAAGATACCCGCTAATTGCTTTGCTCTAACAAGATATGATTATTAGGGAGTGATTATTATAAATATCTGTTTTGTATTTTGTATTTTTCCTCTGCTTTAATTTCCTCATAGTAATTTATTTATATTAATTATGTCTTAATCACAACAGCTAATTTAAATTGTTGAGATTTTTGTGCTGGCAAACACGCTGCTCCGTGGTTTTACTGGGTCATCTGCAGTCGTTCCAAAAAGGTGAGGTGATCTATTTTTACCAGCATGCCACAAGTTGTAATGTTTGGACGTCGCCAAGAACGGCTACGATACAAATCGAAAGCAACAGGAATTTGTAAACAATAAATTACAAATTAAATTACCATATGCCGGCAATTTTCCGTCTTTGCTGAGATTTACAGCGACCAACACTTTGCCATTTGTTGTTGCTGCGAATTATTTCCAAAATAAAATCAATGCGTCAAGCAATTCGGATTGGTTCCACACGATGCGGCTGTGCTAATTGAAGGCTTTCGGAAAATGGGGTAAATACTGAGCGGAAAATTCGGACCAATGCTGGCCATTCCTGGCCGATGATCGATGAACGATCAAGGTAACGGAAGCGAGACCAATTTAATTGCCCCCACAAGTTTGCTTGGGAATCGTTAACGTAATACACGAATCGATTCATAAAATATATTTTTAAAAACACCCACAAATAAGTTCAATGAGCCACGTCCGCATAAAACCGAAACCAGAATGATGTACAAATGATTTCTCTATTTGCCTTTCATTCGTTGCTAATTGTTCGGACTAAATGATGAATATGTTTTTAATAATTGAAATATGAGCAACCCGCGGATAAACACACGCGCTGGGGGCTCTGGCTGAAATAATTTGCTGCCCAATTAAAATTGAACACAATACATTTCTCCCGCCGCTCTGTTTGAATTCAATTTTCCTCTGCGAAAGACAAATTCGGTTGGAATCCCGCTGATGGAGGGAAGCTGAGTAAATCGGGTAATTGGATAAAATCATTTTCAAGTACATTTTATGGCCTAATTGGAATACATTTTTCTGATAGTGCTTTTTCCGTTTGAACCGTAAACACTTTAGTATTTTTCTTGACGATTGCTTCTCGCTGCAACTTTTTAATCAAATAGATGCAAAGTAAATTGTTTTTGTGTGGCACAAAATAAAAAAAAAATGATGAAATTATTATTGAATTTTATTCTGTTTCTTTGAGTCAGGTTTATTTATTTTGGCATCTGAGTTTTTAAAAAATAATTTAAGCCCAAAGTCTTTTAATTTGGTCAGATATGTCCTATGAAATAGTGAAAAAATACCATAAATATAGAACACACATTTTAAAATTCATTTGAATTGAATACTAAAACAGTAAAGCCCTTGTAAAATTAAGATATACACTAACAGGAGCTAGGAAGCACTTACACATTCTAATTTCCCATTTAAAGGTCTTACATACTAGATCAGGACTGATTGTTAAATAGCTTTAATGCCAACCAAATAAAAAAATCAGCAAAAAGATGACCAATACTATGAAAATTTGTTTCTGTCCTTCTAACAAAACTTACTCTCACGAATAAATAGCATACAAAGTTAAAACTAATTTTAATTTTCTTTAACTTCATTAAACATCCTCAACCAAATTCTACTTCATTGATGAACAGTTTCATAAGTTTCTGAATAAACAAATGAATTAAATAAAGCAATTTTCTTTTCAAATTGGGTATTGCACATCCAGGAGGACATTCTGAACACCTCTGGTGTGCCAGAATATATTTCAATGAGAAATCCAGAACCCCCAACTAGCGTTTAAAAACTTGCTGAACCAATTTCTAACTGACACTCATCGGGGACGTAGATTACATGGATAGTTTGCGCTTTCCTCTCGCTCTAAGCCAAATAAACACGCTCGGGTGGCTCACGCCAACAAATTAAAGCTCGTGGGTGGGTGTACATACGGTGGTTTAGGACAACCTACTTGCTTTGGTGGGCGATGAGCTCGACTGCGTTGATTTCCGCTGATTGCCGTCGCTGTTGTCGCCGTTGCTGCCGCTGGCGCGTCCGCTAATTAAATTGTCATCCAAAGAAATGCCGTCGAGCCAATGCATGACATTATTTCCCTTTGTTGTCTACACGCACACACCTGACACAGCACTCGCAGAACACCTCACCCGCAGGCAGGTGGATAAATCACATTTCAGCAGCAGCTTGGCCAATTGATAATTTCATCTCAAATCGCTGACACTTCATTTTCGTTTTCCATGGATTCCCCAGCGATTCGGATTCTATTCTTTACATCTCTTTCTTTACACTCTCGGGGCATTGGCAGTTGACATTTGTTTTATTTCCACAGCCGCACTCAAACACACACAGCTAATAATTCAACAAGTATTGAATGGCCGTTTAGACTTTTTCCTTTTCCGTTGACACTTTCTTCTTTTTGAATTTCTGTTTCCCGGTTGCGCCTTTTACTTTGCCTTTTACTTGCTATTGGCTTTCAACAGCACGCATACGCCCCGTGTGACATAATTAGCACATTGCACTTTAACACTTGTCACCTGTTTGGATACCAAACGAAGGTATTTGCGGAAACTTAATGCTGTTACTACACTTTAAATACTAAAAAAAAAAAAAGGAGAGCTATCAGTAAATTTGTTAAAATCATTTGGATATTTTAGTTAATTTTGAACCATGGAATAACAGCGAGAATGATTATATTCGTAGCTATAGCATATGATTAGATTATGTTGTAAACTTTTTATTCAGAAATGATACACACTTTAAATTCTCAGATTTTGACACAATAAAACTATATCTGAAACTGATGGGCTTTCGAAATGTGCCATCACCTTCCACTGATGAAATTTAACACTTTTGGAAGATAATTTCGATAATTATAATCGATTGGTTTTCCTATTTCAAGCCAACCCGCTGCCTTTTTAAGCAGTAGAAAAAATTATCACTGACTCGATTTGAATATCAGAACCGATTATTTCGATAATTCCAATCGATTTCCTGTTCGCGCCTGCGACTTGTTGTTGGCCCTCCGGCTAGCCGGCTGCGTCTGACTGAGAATCGGACGCTGACCGGACTGGCCCAGAGATATAGAGATATAGACTGAGACTGAGACAGAGACAGAGAGGGCAATGTCGGTGGAGACAGCGTCAGCGACTGTGGCGCATTTCCAATCGTTTCGCACATTATTGTTTCCATTGTGTTCGATATTTGTATTTTCTTGTACTTTTGTTGTTCGCGCACTCACACACACACACACACACATAAGTTTGCCTCAATTTATTGTACCTTTGCCTGTTTATTTTATACAAGTCCGGGCGTTCTAGTATTACGCTACACCACCAGATCTGAGGAACAGAGGGAAACTCGAATAGTTAGCCGCTTCTGGCCAATTTCCTATTAGACATGTCGGCAGATACGATTCGTGTGCGTGTTTACCTCCGACCACGGGTGGAGATAAATATTACCTGGCTGCCCTTCGGGGGCATTCTGCGATTTGTACATTAGCATTGGGCAAATGAAAATCGAACGAAATTCGGGGCAAATTCAAATAAAACACCTACACGTTGCAGTGGCCCTGGCCCCAAGAGGCAAAACATTTGTAAAGCCCAGTGTCGCTAAGACAACGAGTCCTATAATGCGAAATAAATATTTCCGAATTTCGGAGCGAAGCCCACTCAATAAATCATTCATTAGGCACTGAAACTGTCTCGCTTTTAAAACATTATGTCAAAATGTGTCAAACAAGAATTTAAGCATTTTGAAAACATTCGGCTGCATTCTAGATGGGTGGGTGGACTGAAGTGAAAATGGTGTTCTTTTATTGCTCAGTTAATTTGAGAAATTCGAAAACGATTTTCGATTGTCTTAAATGTCTAATTGCTTGAGTTGTTCCAATGCCGAATGTTTGTTTACCTAGTAGCATGTGTAATTTATTTAAAACATCTGACTAAACAATCGAACCAGTCAATGAATGATATACAAAACGCTATGGCTTTATTTTCTTGAAAAGAAGAGATCGTTGATCGGCTGACTCAAGGTTGGACAATGCTTAAAATTATACATTTTAAGTTATTTTATTTGCGTACAATCGTCTAACATAAAGTTCTAATTTATCTTTATTCTGCTCAATACAGGTACATTTGTTTTGGTTTGAATCTTTAACATAAATTATATTTTTTAAGCATTTTCTGTGCGATTTGAACCAGTGTGCATTTAATGACAGTTTGTCAACAGTTCAAGATGGCTTGCCTCTTGCTTTAAATTTACTTTTGAAATTTTATATTTTTTCGGTAATTTAAAACCGAATGTTTATTTGAATTGAAGGCGCTGTGAAAGCCCATTAAATGGTTCTTCCGCGAGTTTTATTTCAGAATAATATTTCAGTGAAATTAGGAATTCACATTTTTGACGAATAATAAATGTTCCAAACAGAATAATTAAAAGAGACGTCACGACTGCAGTGCACTGCATTCGCCGATGCCTGCGTCAATCAGCGGTCTGCACTTTCACATATTTTCAATGATAAACACGATATTTGTTTTGGCAGGCTTTGCTTATTTACATTTCAATCAGAAAACAATTTCACTTCCGCATCGCCACTGATCGCGCCACGCGGCGTATGAGTAATATTCCGCCGTGGGGATGGAAATAAGGCCCAAACAACGTCCGTTGGCGTTGAAAGACCGACTTATTCTGCAGTCGCATCGAACCCATTGCCCCAAACAGCTGTCTTCCAGGCAGCCAGACGCCCCGCCCACACGTCCCGCTCTCCCCAGTGTGGGTGTGTGGGTGTGTGCGTGCGTAGGCCGTAAGTATTGCCAGACAACGCAGACATCTGTATTAGTGGCCCCATCCAAACGTCCCTTATGCTATGGAAAATTAAAAGAATCAAAGGCAACGGCAAAGAGCAAAATTAAGTATTTAGTTGTAGTATCGTATCTAGTGTAGACATGCATACTGGCTTGCATTCTGTGCGGAACGCAAGGTGGCGGGAAACACCGGGGCGGCAGGCGGACTGCCTTTAAGTTTTCTTCTGGGGTTGCACAAAAGTAACTAAAGAAAAAACATCAAAATGTATATATATTCTATTCATTTTTTTTTAATCAAAGGAATTTTGCTTTGCTTACAAAAATAATCGTTTTAATTACATAAATCTTATATATTTAAAAGACATTTTTATTTAATTTAAGGATTGTTGATAAAAATATTTCTCTGCTATAACTTGCAATGTAACAAAAGAGCTTCCGTAAACATAAAACCATACATGCCGATTCATAAACAAAAATTGTTGATGTTTCCATATGCATATTGCCCGTTACAGATTGGATTTGGTAATATAATTTTGAAATTTTGGAGCTTAATGTTTTTAAGGTACTATATGTTAATGTTTTCTAGCTAAGATTCAAAGTCAATAAACTTTTGCCAGAATGAATCTTGTTGTTCCTATTGCCAGTAAGATTTGAACAAAGTCCATAGTTATTTAATTTAAAGTATTTTCTTTGTTGTTTTATTATAATAATGCACTAATGCTGTTATCAATTAATCGATTTACACATAATAATAAGACATTATAAGGAATACATAGTTGGTTCACCCCAACAATGTTAGCGTCTCAGCCTCTGCTTCCATGGACAAACGCACGTTTAACTGTGTGTGTGTTCTTATGTCAAAGCTGAATGGAAAAGAGTAAAAATAAAATGTGTAAGAGCCAAGATAAAATGCATTGTTTCAGGAAAGCGAGAGAAGCAAAAAAAAAATACTTTTACACAAAATGTGTAAGAATTATTGGGGGTGATGGTGCATGCAAGGCAATGGAAATTGCCCTCAGGGTTGTCAGGCCTTATCAATAGAATTTCGTAGACAAAAGGACTTTCAAAATATTCGACCGGTAATTGTATATTGACTTGAATTATATTTAATCAATTCAATTTATTAATGTGTATGTACATGCATATATGCTGGGCTGTAGGCAACCCTGGTCTATCTGATTGCCTGTTTCCTTGGCCTCCTTGGAATTGCGGCAATTAACACATCAATGTACGGCGATATCGATGGTGGCACTCCACCCATTTCCAGCCCATTCCCATTGCCACACCCAACACCCAACACGCTACACCCAACACCCACCGCCCACGCAACAGAATCGCCTCCAGAGAGGGAAATAAATTATTCTATTTGAAAGCTTTTAAAGCGTCCACACTCGGCTAAGGCTGCTGGCATTAAAATGCATTTATTTGAATTTCTTGTTGATATCGAAGAGCACAGAGCTGGCAAACAAACAGAGCCGACGCCCACTTGCAGTATTTATTGTGTTTTGAATTGGGAAGGGGCATAAACTAACCTTTGACGCTGCCTTCCGGAGGTTGGAAAAGCCCCTGCTCCGTCGAATTTGAGCCTTTCCACGTGCGGACGTATTCGGTACCTTGATAATTTATTGTGTTACGTATACGAAGCGTGGGCGGGCAATTGAATTGAAACGAATTCGGCAATGCAGGGTGGGGGGGTGTATTTCATAAATGTTTCCAAGTGTTGTACTCCCCCTAAAAACTGCAATCGTTTCGGTTTGTTTTGAATTTCGATTGCAAGGTAATTTAATCCATGTTTCGCAAAACCTCAAACTCGGCAAAATTGTAATAAAATTTATTTATTGAAAGGCAACAAGTGCACTTATCGGGTGACCTCCTATTCATAAAGCGAGGACCTTTCACAAGTTTCGATTAAGATATTGAGAGGTAATGGCTGCTATTAATGTAAACATAATGACAATCATAACTATGCAAATATTTGAAATTATTTCGCACAACTCTTAATAACAATATAGACAATAACTTCAAAAGCAATTATCGTTAATTGTTATGGCCATTTAAATTTAACGCATCATTAACAGCGTCGGAAAAGAAAATAAAACAACAGAAACAGAATCGGAATCCAACGGAGAGCTTTACAAGAATAAATAAAATAAGCTTTGGGACAAAAGCTTTACCCACGAAATGAAAGCCGAAGAGAAAGTAAGAGAGAGAGAGGACTCTTTGTTGGTGAAATTCGCTTTCGTTGGCTCTTTAATGCCTTGCCTACTTTTGGGCGTCAGTTTTTATGACCGTTGACCCACGACCAATTGCCAGCTGAGCGTGATGACAAATTTAATTACCAACACCCGAAATAATAAAAGAAAACCCCGAAAAAACACCCACAGGAAAATATGAAGCGGAGCTGGTGCTGACTGAATGCGATAATCCAAGTTCAATGAGACATACGAAAATGATGGGGACTATAAAATTTGCGACATGCCTTTCGCTTTCGACAAGGTCGTGGCTTAAATTTGATCAAATTTAATTTGCGACTTAACCCATCCGATAACTGTTCGAGATTAAGTTTGAAGTCCCCTTCAGCGGCATATGTTGCGACCGAGAGAACTGAGTTCTGGCTGATACTTGCCAGTTGGAGCTGACAAGTGTCCTGAATAATTTATGACTTGCCCAGTTTCGGGTGCAACATCTGCTACTGCTACTCCCACCTTGGCTCCTGGATGTCCACGGACTCTGCATTAATTTTAATTTGTTGTGGGACTCGAAATTCTTCGGGACATCAAGCGGCGGACTAATTCCCCGCTGGTTAGTCAGAAGTGTTAAGAGCATTCCTTTATGCCCATCGCATCCACATCCACCCCTCATCGACCATTACGTTCAATTGGAAATTTGCGAGCAGCATTTACTTTATTTCGCATTATTGTTGCTTGGGGTGGAATCAGAGTCAGACTTTGTTTGGGGTGCGCATTTGTGCGTGCATCATCCGCACCCTTTTCACTTTAAGCAATTGCTTTTTCTTAGGGTAATACTTGCACCAACAAGTGGCAATTGAATCTGGCAATCAAAATCGCATGAAGCCGCGGATACTGCTATCGGATGCTAAGCAGGGAGCTTAAATGAGCCCTTCCGCCCAAACACCTTAAATAATCATTCTCAGCTACTTAGATGTACTTATCAAATTTACGAAAGCTATCGAGGTCACAGAAGAATCCTTGAAAAATAAAACAAAATCAATTTGAAATAGGATTATTTAAAATCGTTCGTATTTAGTTGATCAGGGAGTTTAAACTAACCGGAGTGAAGAAAATCTTTTAATTTTAACATATATTAAAAATGAATTACCTACAAGTTAGAATAGCGCAAACTATTAAAGCCTACATATGATCTTTCTTAGCTACTGTTTATATTTAACCCATTTCCTCAAAGCAAAGCAAAGCTTACAACTTAAGAAGTTGACTTTGTGGACGGGGATCCTTGTCGACGAGTCCTCCTCAAACCGTTGCCATCAAGTGCGAACTTGGCTTTAATTTCTCTTTGCTTCGTCGTTTTCATTACCTTTTTTCAACTTTGTTTTCATTTCATTAAGGTGGCAACAAAGTCGGAGAATGCTACTAATTGCAATCAAGGTGGCTTCAACTTGTTGCTGCAACAACCTCTTGAATCCAGTGCCACATGAGCTCTTATTTTTTCTGTGTTTTTCTCCTGATTGAAGAGTTGACTGCCTATATTAATGGATCATTGAGTGCAGGACCAAATGCACCTTGAACCAGGACTTCAAGTTATAGATATGTTCTTGACATTTTTAATTTCTTTCCCGCAGTTGTCAGCCACAAAACCTTTTAATTTTAATTAGGAGCAAACACATTTAAGCCTACAAAAACAAACAGAAACGGAAAATGCCAGCGCATGTTTGCTTGCCCAAAAAATGTAGGTAAACAAACAGAAAAAAATAAAATAAAAATACATTTCTCCCTATATATTTGTATATATTTTATAGCTTTGAGCTGCACAAACAGACCAACAAAATCAACAAGCAGGCGACGACGCTTCAAAAGCCAAAGGCCCCTTTTATTACCTTTGTCAAATGCACAAATAGCCGAAAATCCAAAGCCACTGCCGGGTCACCAGCCCATTCCCTCAATTCCCCTGGAATCGGCACAGCTAAGCAATTCCGGTGACAAAACACAACAAACGGCTCAGGCAAATTTACACATTCTGTGGACCAGAAAAAGTATGGCCCAAAAAGGGTTGAAACT